GAGTTGAGTGATGGGTGTTGGGGGGATGGTGGATTTGAGTTGCAGTGTATGGTTGTATAGTTGTATAGTTGTGTAGTTGTATAGTTACATAGTTACACAGTTATATAGTTGTATAGTACTATAGCTCTGTAGCTCTACAGTTTTATAGTTCTATAGTTCTATAATTTTATAGTTGTATAGTTCTATAGTGCTATAGTGCTATAGTTCTATAGTTCTATAGTTCTATAGTTCCATGGTTCCATGGTTCCATGGTTCCATGGTTATATAGTTATATAGTTTTATATTTCTATATTTCTATAATTAAATAGTTATATAGTTACATATCTACACAGTTATATATTTATACAGCTATATAGTGATTTAATATCGTATGGTTTGCAATAAAAAAAATTATATTGAATGCAAATGAATAAACAATTTAATTTCGAGAAAGAATTATTTTTTTTCTGAAGGAAACGGAACTTTCCGATCAACGTAATAAATATCCTATGCGTTGTTCGTTTGCTGAGACCTGGACAACAGAAAACAAATCACCTGAACAAACGGCAGCTGTTATCATATAATAACAAGAGGAATTCATTCAAATTCGCAGAAACGAAGTCTGGACAAATCTCGTTTAGAATGGAAGATTGAAAATCTTGTTCTGATAGAAGATACCGAAACAAAGTGGGCATAACGAACAAAAGTAAAACAGGGAAATAACAACTTTAGAATTGAAACGAACGCAGTCTGATGGAAAATGAAACTAAATTAAATTCGAAACTCATGGACATCTTGCCTGACGATTTATTTAGTGTTAGTATATTGTCGGAATTTCAATGTTAACAACTTATTGAGTTTTTAATCTTGAGAAATTGGAATTTCAATGGTGATAGATTGTTGGAATTCCAGTGCTGAGCAGTAGGAATTTCAATATTAACAACTTAATGGGATTTTAATATTGAGAAATTGGAATTTCAATGTTCATAAATTGTTGGAATTTCAGTGCTGAACAATTGGAATTTCAGTGTCAACAACTTGGATCTTTAGTGTTGACAAATTAACGGAATTTCAATGTTGACAACTTGGAATTTCAATGTTAACAACTAGGAATTTCAATGTTGTAAAATTATCGGAATTTCTGTGTTGAGAAATTGTAATTTCAATGTTGACTACTTGGAATTTCAGTGTTAACAACTTGTCAGAATTTCAATGTTAAGACCTTGGAATTTCAATGTTAACAACTTGGGGTTTCAATGCTAGCAACTTGGAATTTCAATGTTGATTACTTGGAATTTCAATGTAAACAACTTGGAAATACAATGTTAACAACTTGGAATTTCAATGTTTACGAATTGTCGGAATTTCAATGTTAACAACTTGGAATTTCAGTGTTAACAACTTGTCAGAGTTTCAATGTTAAGACTTCGGAATTTCAATGTTAACAACCTGTCAGAATTTCAATGTGAACATCTTGGAATCTCAACATTTTCAACTTCTAATTTCAACGTGAACCTCCTCAATCAACATCAACCAAAAACCCCATCACCACTCCTCACCTCCTCCTCAACACCCACCGAAGCAATCTCCCGATAGCCCAGCCGGCGACAGTTAACTCCGCCAGTTCCGATAAAACCGCCCCAGCATCCCTCCCTCCCGTCATTCCTGTCGAGGCATCTGTAGGGTGGCGGTGTACGTACACCTCGAGCCCATTACGAAGGCGCGAGGGAAAGAAAGCCGAAGGAAAGAACCCGGCCGAAGAAGGGCGCTCTGTTCTCCGCTCGGCGAGCGGCGACCCGGAGGAAAAGAGAATTTAGCGACCCTCTTTCGCTTTTTACCCCGGCCGAGTCGAGAGCCCCTTAGCCACCGTTTATTGGACGCATGCAAATATCCATGGCAACGAGGGACCACCATGGGAAGCGACCCTGCCGTCAACTCGCGTGCGAGTCGCGGCCCGATCGAAGAAACGGGGGATGACGGGAAATTTCCTTTTGATCCGTAAGCTACCCCCCTCCGCCCCTCGCAATTTCTTAATTTTTGTGATTATAACGAAATCTGTGCAGTAAGAAATTAATAAAAAAATCTGAATGTGAATACATAATAATATAATGTAATATTATGCTAATATTATTTTACATTCAAATTTTAATAAAATTTGAAATAAGCCTCCCTAATTTAATTCAAAATTATATTTCACTCTAACATTATTCAATATTCAAACTATAATATATTCTGTGACTTTCAAATTGCAATGACATTAAACTTTGAAAGTATGAAAGTTAATTAATAAAAATTATATAATCGAGTGAAATTTAGGAGAGTTTATTTTATTGAATAAAAATTTAAATTATACTGAGTAATAATTTGTAGTTTATTAAAGTATTGAGAAAAGTTTTTATAATCTTGATTCATTCAAATATAAATATTTATCAGATAACGTCAATAAATAACATAAACAAAATTATATAAATAATGTTGATAGATTGTCGGAATTTCAATGTTGAGAAATTGGAATTACAATGTTTAAAAGTTGTCGGAATTTCAGTGTTGATAAATTGGAATTCCAATGTTGATGAATTGGAATTTCAGTGTTGCAATTTCTTAATTTTTGTTCGTGATTATAACGAAATCTGTGCAGTACGAAATTAATACGATCGGAATATGAATACATAATAATATTATGTAATATTATGCTAATATTATTTTACATTGAAAATTTAATAAAATTTGAAATAAATCTCCCTAATTTAATTCAAAATTATATATCACTCTAACATTATTCAATATTCAAACTATAATAAAATTTCAACAAAATTTCTCCAATTTAATTCAAAATCACATTTCCCTCCATCACTCAATATTCAAACTATAATAAAATTCCAAAGAAATCTCCTCAATTCAATTCAAAATCAAACAGAACATTATTATAAATCAAGGAAGCAAATATTCCATTGAAATTTCTCAAATGCCCACGTTACCTTTCGCTCGAGCATTATTCCCGCCACGAAAAACAAATTCCCATTCAATCAAAATTTCAAATAAGCCCCTGCAATTGAATTCCACGGAATATCGTGAAAACAGATGGAAATAAAAGTCGACGATTCACGAGACTGCACTCGCTGGCGAATCGACGATGGAACTTAAGCCTCCTTGCCAGCCCGGAGATTTCATCGGGCAATGTGTACAGGTTTCGTAACCACCTCGCAGAAAACTGATTTCCATCCCCTCCTTTCCTATCTATGGAAACGTGTTTCTGTTTTGCATGCGTGGAGAAACCTCGATTGATTTTCGGGTTGAGATTTTGTTGGGAGTTTTGTGTTGAGATATTCTTGAGAATTTAATGTTGTCGAATTGGAATTTCAATGTTGATAAATTGTAGGAATTTCAATATTGACAACTTGGAATTCCAATGTTGATAAATTTGAATTTCAATGATAAAAATCTGTCGGAGTTTTAGTGTTGATAGATTATCGGAATTTCAATGTTAATAAAGTGACGGAATTTCAATGTTGAGAACTTGGAAATTCAATGTTTAAAATTTGTCGGAATACCAATGATAGTAAATTGGAATTTCAATGATAAAAAGTAGTCAGAATTTCAATGTTGATAAAGTATCAGAATATCAGTGTTGAGAAATTAGAGTTTCAATGTTAACAACTTGTCGGAACTTCGGTGTTGACAAATTGGAATTCCAATGGTGATAAATTGGAATTTAAATGATGAAAAGCTATCGGAATTTGAATGTTGACAAATTTGGAATTTCAATCGTGAAAAGCTGTCGGAATTTCAGCGTTGAGAAATTATCGCAGTTCCAATATTAATAAATTGTTGGAACTTCAGCGTTGAGCAATTGTCGGAATTACTATTCCGAAATAAATAAATATTGTACATATTTGCAACTTACAATTTTATATTATAAAGAACGTATATTATAAATAATATATCATAAAGACTTTATGTTATAAAAAATGTATATCATAAATAAGATATCATAAAGGCTTTATATTTTAAAAAATTTATGTTATAGATGATATATCATAAAGACTTAATAATATATATAATATGTCATATAAATAGAAAATCATGAATAATATATTACACAGAATTTATATTACAGAGCCTTCATATCATAAATAACATATATGATAAATAATATATCACAAAGAATTCATCCTACAAAAAATAACTGATTAAAAACTAAAAACCGATTACTAACGGAATAATTTGTACTCACGCTGGGAATGTTGTCGTTCGTGCAGACACCCTCTTGCAGCAGACGGTCTCTGATCTCCCACGCGAAGATGGATGGACACTCGCTTTTATAGAGGGAAATTTTGCTCACGACTTCCGCCGTAGCCACGCGTGGTTTACTACCACCGATAGCCCTGGGCCTGATTGATCCGGTTTCGTAGTACCTGCAGCAATAATATTTTGCAGTACAATACGGTAGATGGAATTATTATTGGTATAATGTCGATGTTCATGGAAACTGATACTTTCATTTCATAATTTTCTTTTTCATCGAAAATTTACTGGGCTTGCGACAATTATAGATAATTGTATATGTTGACAATAGAGTCCTTGTATAATTATGTTTGATTAATTGTATTCCCAGATTTTTGGGTTGCATTTAGAAAATGTTGAAGTTTTGGAAATTTGTCAGATTGGTTTTATGGGGATTTGGAATATGATTCTATAATTCTTTCAACTTAAAGTTCCCATAAAAGCAACTCTGAACATGTGAAAAATTTCTAAAATTGTTTTTGCAGATATTTGGCTATTGTGAATTTAGAAAATGTTGAAGAAGTATTAGAAATTTTCCAAATGTTCAGATTTGTTTGATGATTATGTAATAATAATAATGATAATATAATAATATTGTAATAATATAATATAGCATAATATAGTATGATATAATATTATGATAACATATTATGATAATATCATTATAATAAAATATAATTATATCATTATATTATATTATTATATTACATTATATATTTATTATGTTATTTATTATATTATTATATATTTCTTCTTCACCATTACTCTAAATAAACACTCGTCTTTACACCCATAATTTCGTTTGTCAATGAATAGTACAGTTTAGATGAACACACTTTCATGGCAACTACACTATGATAATTACTATATCACATTCATTAGCATCAACAATACTACTACTATCATTATATCATTTTTTTACTGAAATACTGAAACTTTACCTCATCCCCATATTCGCCAGATATTTAAAGCTAGAAGCTTGTTCGAATGAATCTGTATAATTCAATGAACATTATTTCAATTAAAAACATTGATTACCAAAAAAATTTTTGTTTATTTCAACCTAACCTAACAATAAAATATTTCATACATCACAACATAATATATTAAAGGAAACTGTTCCACTTAAATCATCATCCAATCCAATGATCATATATGATCATAACATTGTTTATTTCAACCTAACCAAAAAATCGAATATTTCATACGTAACAACCTAATAAATATGGCGATGAGGTAATGTTTACCATGCTTTCGATAATAAACCGGGGTTAAAACTTGGACGGTTCGAGTTGCCCGAAGTTCCAAAACAAGCAATATTTCAACCAACCTTCCAAGAATCTTCGAAACGCAGCCATTGCTGACCTGCAGTATCCTGGAAATATCGCAAGGTCGTGCGCCGGAATGCGCTAGTTCGACGATCTTTTGTCTCGTCGAATCGGGAAGTGGTCGACCGCCGACGAACACACCCCCCAGCTGGTTCACCCCACTGTGACCTAGAAAGAGAACGAACGGAATCAGACGGCTATCCGTCATCAAGAAAATCACGGACACATTTTAACCCTTTGTGGAACTGTGTTCGTTAATTGCATTCTTGGCAGAGGGAAAATTATTTTTAAATATTACTGGAAAATACTGTTTCAAGAAAATCATGGACATATTTCAATCCTTTGTGAAACTGTGTTCGTTAATTGTATTCTTGGTAAAGGGAGAATTATTTTTAAATATTACTGGAAAGTATTATTTCAAGAAAATCATGGACATATTTTAATGCTTTGTGAAACGGTGTTAGTTAATTGCATCCTTGGTAGAGGGAGAATTATTTTTAAATATTACTGGACAATACTATTTCAAGAAAATCATGGACAAATTTTAATCCTTTGTGAAACGGTGTTCGTTAATTGCATTCTTGGTCGAGGAAGAATTATTTTTAAATATTACTCGAAAATAATATTGGAAATATTACTGGTATATTGGAAAATTTTGTCATTATGATCATGGAAATCAGTTAGTGATTATTTACTTTACTATTCATTAATTGCATTTGTGGTAAAGGAAAATTATTTTTAAATGTTAGGAGTATACTGGGAAATTTTATTTTTTATTTAACTGTAACCATAAATCATAGTTCATAACTAGAATCCTAGCACAACAGTTCATCATAGTTAATAATATCATAGTTCATAACTGTAATACCAATATTAATAATAATGTCCACAACTGTATACTTAATATCACAGTTCATAAATATAATCCTAACAACATAGTTCGCAACTATAATCATGACATCACAATTTTTACTATAATTCTAATATCATAGTTCACAACCATAATCCTAACATCATACTTCACAACCATAATCCTGCCATCATATTTCACAATTATAACCCTACCATCATAGTTCACAACCATCATCCCAACATTAAAAATAATGTTCACAACCATAATTATACCATCATACTTCACAATTATAACCCTACCATCATAGTTCACAACCATAATCGTGCCATCATAGTTCACAAACATAATCCTGCCATCATATTTCACAACCATCATCCCAACATTCACAATAATATTCACAACTATAAACCTACCATCATACTTCACAACTATAATCCCAACACTAACAATAATATTAAAATGACAATCTCATTTCATCAAGTACACTCGGCAAACACATAACAACTCAACAACTCAAAGAACCCCATAAAACATCCACCATAACCCAAC